AAACCCTAAAGCCTAAGACCCTAAGACCCTAAACCAGCCCCGAAGCTGAGGAAAGCTCTTCACCTGGATTCCCAGACCCATCCCCAGTTCCCCGGAATGGAAACGTCAGGTCCCAATTCCTAAAGCCCTCGGCTCTAAGTGAAGCTTTGCACCAGTCCTCGACCAGTTTGACCCGCGGCTTGGAACCTTGGGTTTGGGCGACGTTTTTTTGGGAGCGATTCGGGTTTGGGGATGCGAGTTTGCATCCTAGGGTAGCAGATCATTTTTCATCACCGAAGCACTGTGAGAGTGCAGGGTTCGTAAGTCTGATGCCAGAGAAGCGGCGAAAGTGGCACCAACACAAAATCAGCATGGACACCAGATCCAAAAGAAGTAGGAAACATTGCAACTTCAACTTTCTCCTTCCCGCAGCCACGACGACGACCTTGGCGGCGACGGTACAATAACTTACTATGATTAGTATTGTTAACTGTACGGCAGTTGCTACTACTGTTGGAACCCTGACCGATCTTTCCATCATTTTACCTCGTTTCTCACCGTTGCCCTTGTTACTTCGAGCAAGGCTGGGGGACTTCGAAGTTGCAGGGGCAATTTGTAATCACCCTCGTGATGGCATTCGCCCCCAATTGGAAGTATCAAGCATTTGTCCGTGCGGACTGGCTAGTATTGCTGGACTGCAGGTGGTGGTAGGTTGCGGGACATGGCAAGAGCACAAGACGTTGATGAAACAACCCAGAAATGGAATTGATCCGGATCACGATTTTCGCTGATCGGCTTAGGCCAGGACTTTGTGTTATCCGCAGGAACGCGCACAACCATAAAGGCAGCCGTGTCTGGCGCGATCCGGTCTTTGTTAGAGCTATTCGTTTGCTTTGTTGGCGCCTGTAAGTTGCCTTTGGTGGCGCAGTATTGCGATTTACTTGTTTTGTGGCAGTGCGTTTTCCCTATGAGGAGACAACGAAAAGACTCGGGAAACAAGCAACGCAGAATTTCCCTACAGTTGTTCCTTAAGGCTGTGCTAAGTTCGGAAGCTTGCCACCGAACTCACAACTCAAAACAGATGTGGAGCGCTTTCGGATGCAGAGTTCGGGGAAGCAACGCAATTCGTTTACAAACTCATCAAGTTATCCGGAATCCTTCCAAACCTTAAACGAGGCTACTCGTGGAACGTCGTCAGCGGTGGCATTTGCACCTTTATGGGCGTCCGCATTGGCACGGCCTGGAATGCCATGGTCAGCTTCTATGCCCTTTGGCAGACCCAAACCCAAATCGGGCTTACGGGGTTTCGGATGCCCAGCCAAACACGAGGTGAATGTGTTCCGATGCGTCGAACTTGCATCAGTGCCGAACCCCCTCCCTTGGAAAGATGTCCTCTAGCAGAAACCCTCAACTCCGAAAGGGAAGGAGCTTTTGAGTAAAGACAGCACAAAGCCATCCTCTCTCCATGCCCTTGAGACTAGGACTGTGCAACTATTATCGTTGTGGTTCTTCTTGGTCATGTTCTGTCATTCGTGCTGCCGTTGCAGGAACACTTGTTCTTGTTTGTGCTTGTTTGTTGAATCTGCTAGACTATGTTACTGCTTCCCTTTTCCTAGTGTGTTGTTGTTCTGGTGTTGCTGTTGTCGTGGTCGTTGTCGTTGTCGTTGTCGTTTCGGGGTCGTGGTCGTGGTCGTCGTTGTCGTTGTCGTTGTTGTCGTCGTCGTCGTTGTCGTTGTTGTTG